AAAACAATTCAATGGCTAGAAACGCGGGTCCTTCTTAATTGAATTTAGCGTCCTTTCTTTTGTTATTAAAAGCGTGGTTTCACGTTGAACGAAGGACAGTGATCTGATGTAAAGTCTTTTTTTTCCTCCTTTAATTTGCCCGATTCTTCTTGAGTTCAAACCATGGTTTCTTTCCTTGAAATTACTCGATTGAAAGGGAGTAAGCTAATCGAATCTTTCTCCATCCGAAACTCTTCTTTAAAAAAAAAAACCCAGTTTGTCAATGAGATGGCAAATCGTTCCATCCAAGTTACGATGTTTAACAGCATAGGACAAGGGACAGGAGTTGTAGGTTACCAAATTCACATGCATCTTCGAATGAGCAGTGCATACATTATCTTTGCCTAATCCTTTTTTTTTTTAAATTTACAGTCAACTTTTTATAAGATTTGACAAATAATACCAATATCTGGTTGATTTTATCCCTACTTTACCATTATGTATATCATTTACATGGTTTTCTAATCTGCAAATTCTATGCATGCATATGCAATTTGTACATGATAGTAGGTAGGAATTAATGCAGTCTGACAAATGTTTTTATTTATTTATTTCAAATGACCCCATCTCTTCTCTGAACATACAGCAAGTCGTTGGAATCGATGGTCATGGGTTCGTGGTACACGAAAAGGTCCCTGGAACGTGAGGCACATCTTAAGAGATTTATTTTTTTATTTTTCTTTTCTTTTCTTTTTCCTTTCCTTTTCTTTTTTTTTTGTTTCACCTTCACGGCGGTCGCTGGCCCGGCGCCTGGCCAGGCGGGCCGGCGAGGTCGGCCCCGCCGGGCGAGGCTTGGCCCCGCCGGCCGCCGGCGCGTGGCCGACCTCGCCAATAGCGCGGGGCCGACCTCGCCATATGGCGGGGCGAGCCTCGCTCGGCCAGCGAGGCTCGGCCGCCGGCCGGTGAGGCTCGGCCTCGCCGATGCCGGGCGAGCCGACCTCGCCATTGCGGCAGGCCGACCTCGCCAATAGCCGGCGAGGCTCGGCCTCGCCGGCGCCGGCATGGCCGAGTTCTCGCCCGGATCCGGCGAGGCTCGGCCCCCGCCGGCTGCCGGCGAGGCCTCGGCCTCGCCCGGAACGGCGAGGTTCGGCCTCGGCGACCTCGCGTTCTTGGCGAGGCCGACCTCGCCGATCTGGCGGGCCGAGCCTCGCCGATCCGGCGAGAACTCGGCCACGCCGGCGGGCGAGGCCGACCTCGCCAATAGCGGCGGGGCCGAGCCTCGCCGTGGGCGGCGAGGTCGGCCCGTAATCGGCGAGGTCGGCCGCGCCCGGCGCGAGGCCGAGCCTCGCCGACCACGGCGAGGCTCGGCCTCGCCCAACGCCGGCGAGGCCTGAGCCTCGCCCGCCGGCCCGCCTGCTGGCGGTCGCCGGTCCCGGCGACCGGCCCAAAGGTGAAACAAAAAAAAAAGAAAAGGAAAGGAAAAAGAAAAGAAAAGAAAAATAAAAAAAAATTCGAAAAAATAAAAAATAATATTAAAAAATTGGACGAAAAATTAACTGGTAGATTTGGGACAAAAGTAAAAGTTTGAGGTTTTTTATAAGACAAAAAAAAGTTTGGGATATAATTGGGACAAAGGGTAAAGTTGGGGGTTTTTTAGGGAATTGGGCCCTGGAACGTGAGGCACATCTTGAGAGATTTGACTTGCCCTAGACTCTGAGCATTACTGTTCAATTTCTTTGTTTCTCGAATTAATATTAGATTAATATCATGAAAAATCACAAACTGGTACATCTGTGATAAATCTAAACTTGTACGCTTGTGGCATATTTATCCTCCATTAATTTTTGTTAAATTTTAACGTCAAATTGCTGAGTTGAATGACACGTGGCATTCGACGGATGTACTAGTTTAAGGTTTTACCCATTCGTTTGTCACAGATTTACCAATCTGTGATATTTCGTGGTATTAATCCAATTTACCGGAGGGTAAATTTGTCATAAGTGTATCAGTTTGGGGCTTTTAATTGTCAAAAAATTAATTTGGGGTAAATTTATCATAGATGTACCAATCTGGGATTTTTCGTGGTGTTAACCCAATAATATTTTAGTTATTCAAGCAAAAAATCAAGAGGGAGTTTGTTTACACTCTTTATTTCTTTAATCATGTTGATGCCGACTGACCGATATTGAGGGTCATAGCGCATAATGTGGACATCAACTAGTCTCGAGATTGCGTTGGGTTATAAGTTGATCCCTAAGCAAATGATCAAATGGGGTAATCGATTACCATTTTACTAACCAGAAGTATCGAGATAGTAGTAGAAAATTTCACGAAAACAGTATAAAGAAGTAAAGAACTGCTCTATCAAAACAAGATCGTAAAAAAAATAAATTAATTAAAGTACGAGTTCAAAATTGTTGTTTTGCGAATGATCAAACGGGGTGATCGATTACCATTAAGCAATAATTAATGTTCCGTTTGTTTTGCGAAAAAAAGAATGATCCGAAAAATATTTTCTAAAAATGATTGCTCGTATCGTTTCTCAAAATGAACGAACGAAAAATATTTTTATTGTTCACGGAAAACGTTTAGGCATTAATTATTGTAGATAACCGAAAACATTTTCCATCGATTAATTATCTCAGGCGACACGAACGATCAATTTTAATAAAAAAAAATTATTTTTCACGAAACATACGGTGAGGTCCACAAGGACACCGAAATCAGCTTCCTAAACCATGGGCTAATCGATTTTCCCCCTTACCTAACTGGCTATCACCTTTCAATCTTTTTTAAAGTCTTGCTTCTTTCCTCTCTCTCTCTCTCTCTCTGTTTTTTTTTTTTTTTTTTTGCTCTACTTTTTTCACTTTCATATTCTTCCCTTGGACCTAAATTAGATTTCAATTTGGACCTGCACTTACAATGTTGAAGAGCCTTTTGAGCTTACTTAAGACTTCAATTCAGAACTTTGTATTGACCCCGCAGTTCTTGACGTCAAATTTATTGCTCTTTTGGCCACATGAATTCTCGAATTTTGACTCGTGATGGATCATCCATGACGACTTGCATGCCTTCTTGATGCGATGCAAACCTTCCCACACCGACCTTGCCGGAAAATGATCGGAATCCCCCCACATCCTATGAAAAACATACTGACCTTGCCGGAAAATTATCATTTCGACTAGTTAGGGTGCATTTGGTAGCATTTCTGTTCTTTAGAACATTTTCTGTTCAATAATAGTTTTTTCTAATTCTATTCCTTAGAAGAGTTTTCTGAGCAAAAGAACGCACTTGGTAATCGCACAAAATTTCTATTCCGAAAATAAAAAAAAAAAGAACAGAAATGCGTTTGGCACGATCCTTAAAATTTGTATTCCCAATTTTTTCCATTTAATTATAAAAATGTCAATGTAGACTTAACAATTCATGTTTAGATAAAGCTAGGCTTTTGTAAGGACTTAACTGATCAAGATATTCTAATATGGCCTTAGAATAGTCAAAGATGGAGGGATGGAAATGATCGGAATTCCCCCCCCGGATCCTACGAGAAAACATATTTCCGTTTCGATTAGCTAGTGGTCATTGGACGGGCCCGAACTAAGTTGGAAAGTCAGGCCCGATTGTTGCCTCATCTCGCCGTCACCCAAAATGTACGTCGAAATGTTCGAGCCGGATGGAGCGGGCCAATTCGATTTGAGAGATTTATTTCGATTTTTATTTCCACCGAGTAATTTTCGACAAGTCGGTTTCATTTCGTTTCTCCGCTTCTAGTAATTTTTTTGACGGACCTTAGTTTTTACTTACGTTATTGAGTCTAATATTTTTCCAACCGCTCTAATGCTCCAATCCATTTAAAAAAAAACCGGAAAAAAAACATAAATTATCCTACAAAATTTTTAAACCCAACCCAACCTTCTTCCGAAACATGAAAAGCACACATGACGAGTGAGCCAATCAAACAGCCCACACTCGATATAACTACATATAAAGGCTCGGTAAATTTCATGAAAAATAAATGATTCGAAAAATATTTTTTTAAAAATGATCGTCTATGTTGCTAATAAAAACAGATAAACAAAATTTTATTTTCATCTTTCATGATAAAATTTAGACATAAATTATTTGTAGTGAATTTCATTGATTAATTGTTTTGAACGATACATGCGATCCCTTTTGGGAAAATCCTTTTCAATATTATTTATTTTTCACGGAACGAACGGAGTCAAAATAGCATCGCATATTTTTTTCACAAGGAAAAGAACAAAAAAATCAACCAGAAAATAAGTAGGAGTGACAAACGTAGCCCAAATGAGTTGCCTAATGAAAATTGCGTAGCATTTTTTGCTGAACGGGCCTGCATCGGGCCCACCCATATTTGCCTTAGGGCTCGTTGCCAGTAAGCCTTCGGGCAATCGGGCCTATGATTAAAACTTGCATCGAGCTGTCTCATCGTAAAATTTATATTTTCTGAATTTTTTTTTTCTTTCCTTTTCGCCGGCGGCCGGTCTTGGGCGATGACCGACCTCTGATCAGCCTTGCCTGTGGCCATCGGTTGCATCTGCAGGCTCAAGCATCGGCTCCAATCCATCGGAAGTATTTGCGTGCAGATATGCTGTGCTCAGTCTCTTCAGTAAACTGATTCTAATCCCCAATTCGTGGTGATTTTGCATTGTTCTCACCTCTACATTGGTAACCTCTTTGCAATTCCCATCCTTTTGAGTCTTGATGACCACTGGCAAGGGCCGCACTCCCCTGGGTGAAGGTCACCTGCAGTTGACAAGGGCTTAGACGAAAAAAATGAAAAGAAAAATAAATATTTACAAATTAAAATAGTCTTTGGACGAAAATGCCCTTGATCGATGGCTAGCCGGTGAGATTGGTCAAGCCCTTATTTAAAACTTCCATAATAACTTCGTGCTTTTCTTTGGACCCTTATTCGAGAAAATGATGGCATTTTAGGCGTTGTATGGAATTCTCTCGAAAAGAAATTAGAATTCAACGAAAATCTCAAGAAGGCCACGTCAGCTCGGGTCCGCCATCAAGCCATCAATTTTAGGACACGAAATAGTAAGCGAAATCAATCAAAAATCCGTTGGTTGACCCGACGACGGCTCTTCACTCGCATCTCGCTCGCCGGAGCTCCGAGGAACCTCGTCCATCGCCGCTCCCTCCCATCGCCGCAGCCGGTGAGTTCAGCTCGAATCTCCTCCGCTCGAAGCGCGATTTTCATTCGATTTAGCTCCGAATCATCTCGTCATCGGTCGATGCGCTGCTCTAATGCGACGATGGCGATGCGATTTCATCACGGCATCGGTGTTCCGACGGTACAAAGGAAGAGGAGAGAACCGGTCGGACAATTGTTGTTTCGAGGCGATTTTCGTCATCGGAATTGTGTGCGAATTTGGCGACTCGGTTTCGATTTTTGGTGTCTGTTTGCTGCAATGGCGATTTCGTTGACGGAGACGAGATTGCTGGTGTGTGTTGTTGTTTGCTGGTGTCGCGGTTCAGGTTTTCAATGTGCATTCATTGTCTTCGTGAATTTTTTTCCACTGGAGGCTCGGAGAGTATTACCGAGTTGCCGGCGAGTCCGTGGAAGTCGGTAGGTTTGATTTGGTTTAATTTGTCCGTGCTCATGTGAATTTGAATGTGAGATTTACCTATGAATTGTGCATGTTGAGGAAGGAATGAGTCGGCACTACCTGTTTAAGTGATGGTGGAGCTGTAAGATTCGTTGCTTTGGTTTGACGTGGTGTTTGGAGGTCTTGGTTTGGCGTGTTTGTTTAAATTCCGTCCATTATTTCCGTTTTTACACTGTAATCCTCTTGGTTAATGCATTGTTAAGATTGTCTTCTACTATGGCCGAAAAAATTGAACGGTTGGCTAGTGTTTTCTCAGAATTAAGTTCAAAAATGTTGATTGACACTCTTTTTATAAGTTTTTCTTATACGATGGTAGTTTAATGCTTTCTCCTTTTTAAGGAAGTTGTATGCTGTGATGGAGTACATCTGTTAACGAAATTATCTATGCACTGGTTTTTCCAAGACAATCCTTCTGTTAATTGTTAAATTAACCATTTCTCATAAATGTCTATTTTCATGAAACAGATTCGGTTGCTATTGCTTACTTTGGTTACAATGTGCCATCAAAGTTCCTGTGAACATTTTTCTGATGAAGATGCAACTGCAGCAGAAGAGAGTCTCCTGGTGTATTGCAAGCCTGTTGAGCTATACAATATTTTACACCGCCGTGCTATACATAATGTAATTGTGTCATAATGCTCTCTTTTGCGAACTCTATATTTTGACTTTTCCTTCCCTGGAAACACCAATTGGGATGATGGGCTTTGACTAAAGATGAGTATATCGAGTGAGGGAATTCTTGTGATGTAGTCCCTTGTTGTAGATATTTATGTAGTGTACATCATTTTGAAGCATATCTTAAACTCTACCTGCCGGGTGGTACTCTCAAAAAGAATTAACATCCGGTCTCTTCAAAAGTTGGGCTAGGCAATAGAAAATTTTTAAGTGTTGGTAAAGTCCATACTTTATCCTGATCCTATTGAACAGATGATATCTCTGAATGCTATCAACATTAGGGCTAAGATGTAAAGTCCCTCGGGTTTTCATGGCTTTCATAATTCTAAGATATGTTCCTTGTTCCGATTTTTTGAATCTGTCCATTCTAATATGCTGATCAAGCATCTTTTCGTGCTCTAGCCTTCTTTCCTTCGGAGAAGTTTGCGTTTCAAAGTACAAGCAAGGCCTAAGCGTAATAAGAGGTGAGAATTTTCATCCAAGTACCTACTAGGCAACTATTCCTCAATCATCGCTAAGGGATCTATTTCTTAATTTTTATTTTAGTTTCCAGTTATATTCTTTGATATTACAGTACTGTAGTGCTTCTAGTGGCTATTCCCTAAGTGTCTCTTTGTCCAAGCTCATGCTCTTCTATGTAACTTTGACACCCTGACAAGGAGTTTGTGTGTATTTCCTATTCCGTAATTTATAGGAATATTTCATGGTCTTTTGGTTACATATAGGGAAATTTTATTGCATTCATGGACTTTTTACACAAGAGAAACAAAATGTACAAAGTCCTCGCATTCGTGGCTATTTTTCCAAATAGAGTAATAAATCAAGCCCGTTTGTGATTGAAATGGCTTCTAAAGTTGACCTCTTAAGGTGGTGTTTTTCATGTCGTTGCTGTTGTTAGTTCCTTGTTTTTTGATACACAAGTAGCAGGGCATGCAATAGTTTTGTTCTCGTTTTCTCATTTGATTGACTAAACTGCTAGAGAACGGCAGTCGTTGCCGAAAACTTTTTTTTTTGCCAAGATGACACATTTCTAGCCAAGTTCTCTCTTTTCTTTTCCTTATTAGTTTTTTTTCTCATTGTACCCATCTTCTCTCTTTTCTTTTCTTTATCGAAAATGTCTGTCCACTTTATTGTTGTTTTTTTAGTGTGATTCTTCTTCTTATATTTTGGGGTTCCTGTAACATTTTGTGCCAATTTTCTAGGTTGAGGGCTGGAATAGTCATTTTCAACTATAGGGACTGCAACAACGTGCATCGAAAGATTGAAGGTACATGGATTCATTAATAGCTTGAATTTTGCATCTTCTCCATCTTATCATTTTATGGTGATTAATTTTCTATGATGCAACACAAAGGGACTACACCACATATGCTGCGCTAGATATCAGTTTACTCTTCTTATAAGAAGAAGGTAAAAATACGTGCAATGCAAACATAGTTACTGTGGAAATGCAGAACTAGAAATAGACCCTGGAACTTTGTCTCTCTCTCTCTCTCTCTCTCTCTCGGTTATCTTACTAACTTTGGAAGTTGATCCTATCTGTCTGACTATTATGATATTACAAGTTAATTACAAACTAGATGAGTTGCTGTGTTGCAGCAACGCTACTTTTGTCTCAAAATAACCTTTCTATCCTTGCAGCCTGCTTCTATAGCATCAATACTTTTAAGAGGAAAGGATTTTGAGTGGGTGTAGAATGAGCAAATTTACGTTCACGTAACATGTCCTCAAAAATATAATTTCCTTCAGAGCTTTAGACTGAAGGTCTCATGTGTCTACCTCCCAAAGCACAGCAGGGACATTATTGAATGGCAGTGCCTCTTTGAAGCTACTGTTTCTTTTCTTCCTTGTCGAAATTTGCTCTATTTGTACAAGGATGGGCCAAGCTTTAGTAGTAAAAACTTTTAATTGGTGTCTTTGTTTTAAAAATGCAGTAACTGAAGATTTCTCTTGCCCATTTTGCTTAATGCAATGTGCAAGCTTTAAGGTGAGGTTTTACCAGCATTGGTTTCTCTTGTATCCTGTGCCCACCTTTTTATCTGTCTTTTCAACTCATGCATGTTTGCATAATTTTGATGAAGAAACTAGAGCTTTTATTTTTCTTGAATAAGAAAGAAATACTGCTTCTTTTGAGGCATTTTGCATACTACCTATCGCTCCATGGAGTTTTTGAACTAACTAGCATTTGACATCTTGGCAGAGCTTCATTTGAGATTATGTACATCTTATACATAGAGGAATTGGGTTTCACATGACAAGGGCTTCTTTGTACTTTAGGCACTTAAATCCAGCTGGCATTTCAACTATTCTAAATTGCCTCATTTTAGAGTTCACTTTGCTTTCTAATTCTTTTGGAACTCCAGCCATATCTTGAGTTGTTCTGGGCACATGTATAATAAGGGTTTTCTCAATAGTGGAACAGCAACGAGCTATTAATACCAACTTATTCTGTACATCTCAATTGAGCAACACCTAGTGTACTCTTTCATTCACCCTTCAGAAAAATACTTTTCAACAGCATGATTCTTGAAAAATTTTCACTTGACAACTTTTTAGCACAATATACTAAGCATTTATATCTTTGTTTTCAGGGTCTAAGGTTGCATTTACAATATACTATACTTAGAAAAATAGTAAGCATGATTCTTGAAAAATTTTCACTTGATATCTTTGTTTTCAGGGTCTGAGGTTGCATTTATGCTCATCGCATGACTTGTTCAACTTCGAGTTTTGGGTTGGTAACCAGTTGCCGAGTTGATATATAAAATGCTACTTTTTCCTCCAGCACATGCTGTTGAACTGAAAGTAATTTTTAGGTTTTTGAAGAGTATCAAGCTGTGAATGTCTCTGTTAAAGTTGATATGCTGAGATCTGAGGTAATATATTTCCACTGAAAATAACTTTTTTACAGTCAATTGCTTTGATTATTGGATGTTTAACTCTTTGCTCATAAGCTTTATGCGTTGATTGGTTCCATTGATATTTAATGGGATGTTATGTTTGTGGGCTGCTCTTGGGTGCATTACCATTAAATTTTTGCCTCATATTTTCCAAAATTTATCAGAAGCGAGCAGAGTTTATTTAAATTGTCTGTGATGACTTCAATGCAATGAGATAGAATAAGCGCCAGATTGTAACTTTTTCAAAAGTGCTGTATTGTCATAGATGGGGGGTAAATCAACTAAATCATTTGCTGGGTCCTTTTGCCTTATCTGAATGATGAAGAGGAGTAGCAGGGGTATGTGGCACCTCCTCATTGTGGTGATGGGGTTATGATGAAAAGCAATGTCTTATGGGATAAGCACATATATGATATTCTGCCTGAGCATTTTCATTCATTTCATTTTAAATGTAGCTTAAATGAAAAATTTTATGTTTTCTCTTCTTAAGTTATTGAAGGTCAGGTCTTTCAACCCCTCTGCATGGCCCCTAGACCCCTGAAACCCGACCCCTTGGTCAATTCCCAACTATAGCTTTTAGTGAAAGGTGTTTTTGGTTATCCTTTAATCGTAAGTTGACATGAAGGAAACTCGAACAAAAAATGATGCAGTTTTTACTAGTGTCTAACGGGAAATCATTTTTGTGAAGTATTCTCACTTGAAAAGGACTTTTTCTTAGATAATTGAATGCCCATACAATTTCTTGCATTTGATGTTTGTGCAGGCTCTGACAGAAGAAACAGACCCTAGATTGCGAACATTCTTCTTCTGGTTAGTTTTTCATTCTTTCATTTCCACACTCTCTTCACTATCCTTACCCTTCCTCATCTTTGAATAATACCAGAATTAGAGGTTAATACAAACTATATCTACAGCCCAAAACCACGAAGGCGTCGGCCGAAATATCCTGCTCAAAATAGGAAGCATGTCCAAGTTGAGTTCTTGGAATTTGATCCATCCCAAATAGCCAGTGAGGGAATGCAGAAAGGACTTCAGGAAGTTGAAAATGGTGATAATTTTGCTATTAATTCTTAAAGCATAACAAGTAGTAAACAGCTGCCTGCTGCCCTGCATGATCATGTTTCATTTCAATAACACTTATACATGGTCTGTATTTTAATTTCTCATAGACTTGATGCATAATGAGATTTTCTTTGTCTCAGTTTGTTAATGAGATTTGGGATCGGAAAAGAAGTGAGAAGTTTCTGTTTAATTCTTGGGAAAAAACCACAAAAAACCCCAAACTTTATCACTTGTGACACATTTACCCCGAACTTTTTTTTGTGTCATGAAAAACCTCAAACTATGCAACTTGTGACACATTTACCCCAATATACTATAGCCTAGGGCATTTTAGTCTTTTTCCCTTTTTCTATTTTTTTCTGCTTTTTTTTTCTTTTTTCCGGCAGGGGCTGCCCTCGCCGGCGAGGTCTCCGGCGACCTCGCCGGCGAGGGCGAGGGACCCTCGCCCCGCCCAAGCGAGGGCTGCCCTCGCCGGCGTTGGGCGAGGGCTGCCCGCCGGCGTCGGGCGAGGGTCCCTCGCCCTCGCCTGGGCGAGGCGAGGGCTGCCCTCGCCGGCGTCGGGCGAGGGCTTCCCTCGCCCCGCCCAGGCGAGGGCGGCATCGGGCAGCCCTCGCCCCGCCCAGCGAGGGCGAGGGACCCTCGCCCGACGCCGGCGAGGGCAGCCCTCGCCTGGGCGGGGCAAGGGAAGCCCTCGCCCGACGCCGGCGGGCAGCACACTCCCCGCCCAGGCGAGGGCAGCCATCGCCTCGCCTGGGCGGGGCGAGGGTCCCTCGCCCGACGCCGGCGAGGCGAGGGCAGCCTTCGCCTCGCCTGGGCGGGGCGAGGGTCCCTCGCCCTCGCCGGCGACCTCAGCCCCCGCCGGAAAAAAGAAAAAAAACAGAAAAAAAATAGAAAAGGGGAAAAAGACTAAAATGCCCTAGGTTACAGTATATTGGGGTAAATGTGTCACAAGTTGCATAGTTTGGGATTTTTCTTGGCACAAAAAAAAGTTCGGGGTAAATGTGTCACAAATGGTAAAGTTTGGGGTTTTTGGTGGTTTTTTCCCTTAATTCTTCATATAATGACAATGAAATTGAAATATGAAAATTTGAATTTATATGCCTAGTGTCTTTAGAGTATCAGCATAGTTTAGTAGTATTCTTTGAAGAGTTTGCCTTTATCCCAGCTGATTTAGCTTTCTAAATAAGATTGGTTGCGTTGGCACAAATCACTCTTGACGTAGAATCACAATTCTGCTAGCATATTTTTGTTATCCTCACTTCCTTAATTTGAAAGATACTGGCTGATGCGTGAATAGTGATTGACAATGCCTCTCATACTTGGTGTGCCGATGAGTTGTTGCACATTTTTAGCTGTTGCATGAAGGTTATTGGTATCCTGTTACCCTGGTTTGAGGTTTGAGATCTTACTTTGCTAGCATGGTCAATTTCACATACCCAGTGAAATGTTTTTCTTTTTTGCTCTCGTTTTTTTTTAACTTAAAAGGATATGCATTCCCTCATGTCGATCAAATTGTTATATGCTGACTGTTAAATTGTTATCTTGGTGGTTATCATTCTGACCACTGCCACGTCATCTTGGATTTGCTCTTCGAAAAGTTGGTAAAGCGTACTGATGAGTCTAATTCGTCTTATTTGATAGTGGCTAATTCATGCTGCATTTACAGCAAGTTTCTCCGATTAACTTTGTTTGAAAATGGAACAAACATATCGGAGAGTATGCGTATCACATACCTAAGAAATTGAACTTGTAAATCATCAAAAAGATGTGGGAAAGGTGAAAGAGCCATTATTTTTATGGGGGAATATGTCAGAGATTATTCACTTGGCAATCACCGGTCATCAAATGTTAATAACAATATCTTGCCCGATCAAAGTCACATTTTCATCGTGCAATTTCTTCCTGTATGCGTGCAGCCTTGAAGGTTCTAGTATAATTTGATTAGGATGACTTCTCCCGATGGTTGGAAAGGCTACTGACCTATTTTATGTGTCACAGCTATGCAGAATGGAGTGCATGAAGCAGAGAATTTCTATCCGGACTATCCTAGTACAGCTGAGTGTTTAGAGCATGTTGCGTCCAGTTTTAATGTTTCAGGGACTCCAACTTCTATGGCTCAATCTTCTGTAGACCATGAATGCATCAAATCATTAGCTGGAAGTGATCCGGCTATTCTGCAAATGTCAAAAGCAAGGAGGATTGTGGTGGAACGTTCAGAACCTAGAAAGTATGTACACCCAATTCTTTGACAAGTCATCCATTTGAAGCATGTTCAGTGGGCTGTTAACTTCTGCCTGAACAGATCAGTTGGATTGCATATCATGTCTACTAATGGCTCACTGTTATATTAATACATTTATTTCAGCCGTGGCCAATTGCTGAGACGACAGTTCTATCACTCTCACAGAGTTCAGGTGATCGTTAAACTTAGATCCATCTTTGAATTGGTTTATCTTCATCAACCTGATCCCTCTATAATTTGCCATTCCATATATTCAATTTGTTTTCTTCGACCTTTGGATCTTGCAAACAACCAATTCTAAGAAAAATCTGTCTGGCAGAAGCATTCGTTATTTATTTTAGCAATTCTATGCAATGGAAGGTGTGAACTTTTTTGGAATGCCTAAAGGATCTAACTCACCCAGCTGGTGGCCTTTCCATTTACAGTTTTGGTGCTGAATAATTTAGTTGTCCAGCAATTATGTCCGCACGATCATGTTCTTATCTCTGTGAAAGTCTTCCTAGACTTCCGGATTGAAATTTGTTAATTTGAATGCAAGTGAAAATCATGATCAAGTCTTTGAATCTTTAGGATTAGGTGTGTTTTATTTTTTTCCTTTCTTTTTTGTTGTTTTTCACAAAGAGTGCTGTTTCTAGTTGAGATTGTTCTGTGATAACCTGGATCTCGTAAATTTGAAGTCATGGAAACAGCCTTCTTGCAACTACACTTGAGTTCCATGCGAGTATAACCCTCCTTAGACTATGACGATGTGGGAATATCCTCAATTAGGATGTTGTTTTTGTTGTTATTCCCTTAAGATTTGGTAAATATCATGTTTGGCTCCTCTTTTCTCAGCCAAAACATCCTCCTCCTTTAAGAGTATATTCCACCTAATCGAAAATAATATCTCTTTGAGGTCTGGAATTCTTTTCGCTAAAATGTTCATGCCATCCTAAAACACCACCGAAATAATGTGCCTGACATGATTTCCATGAACTTGCTTCTTTTCTTGAAGCATATGGCAGTGGATCAAGTGTTATCGGATCAGGACAGTGAGGATGAAGTAGATGATGACATTGCAGATTTTGAGGATCGAAGGGTATGTACTCTTTCTATTTAAAGATATGAAAGAAGTATAACTTTGTATCTTCTAAAATAAATCAGTAGCAGGTTTGCAACTTCTCTGTCTGCCTGGTGTTTTCCCCTTTTCAGCATTGGTTCCACAACTAACAGTGGATGCTCTTGTAATGTAGCCAAGAGACCTTAAACATAAGGACAGCTTTTGATTTGGTTCTTCATCTCTGAAGAGGAATAGATTAACTGAAGCTGCTTTCTAGAAACAGCTTTTTCCTAGTCCATTGCCATGGCTAAAAAATATATATAATTCAGCAACAAGATTTACTCACCACACACCAGATTTAATGGATGGGATATCTGCTTCTTCCTTTCTAGTATCTGCTACTACAAATCAACGGATGGGCCATATATACATAGAAGGGCAAGAATTTGTGATTTTGCCTGTTCAAAAATTACTCTCGGGGATTGCAAACTGCCAAACCAGGGAATTTTAAGAATACTTCATTTTAGATCCCCTCTTGTTTAACTCGACAATTTAGGGTTGTGTCACCCGAGATATTTGGCTACTTTCATACATGAGTTGCTCAGTGGAGAAGTGGAAAGTGATAAATATTTGCTCAAACTGTCACCTGTCTATTAAGACAATCGACAGTTCTTAGTTGCTCCCCGCTGGAACAATCTTTTCTCACCCTGTTAATTGGAATTGTCAATCACTAGTTAAATCTTTTGTTTGCAGATGCTGGATGATTTTGTGGACGTCACCAAGGATGAAAAACATCTCATGCATCTCTGGAACTCGTTTGTCAGAAAACAGAAGTAAGCCTCACGTCTCTCTCATGTTGTTTCAGTAGATAAATGAAAACTGAATATTTGAAATTTGCCATTACAGATTGTTCGCATCAGTGAATGCTAACAGGCACCTTCTTTATTTTTCTAAGTATCTTTTGCAGTTATTGCATCACGTGTAAAGCATTCTTATTTGGCACAGGGTTCTGGCAGATGGTCATGTACCATGGGCATGCGAAGCGTTCTCAAAACTTCACAGCCAGGAGCTTATCGAATCTCCGGCTCTCTTTTGGTAGCTTCTCTCATGCTTTGGCTCTAATGCTTGTTACACCGAATGAAAACCTGTTCGCCCGTTAATCCTTCAAATCAAATGTTACTCGAGTTTGCCAAATGCTATTATTCTGCCAGTATACAAAATGCAAGCTTAATCAAAATTTGCCCGTTCTTGCTTTTCAGGTGCTGGAGATTATTTATGATAAAACTGTGGAATCATGGCCTTCTTGACGCATCCACAATGAACAACTGTAACGCAATCCTCGAGAGCTATCGGAACGAGGGACCCAATGCAAAGCGAAAGACTGATCCTGCGAATTAACGTAGCATTCAACAGTTGACTATAGGTAACCCAAAATTCAACCAGCTGATTTAGTTTCATTCTGATGACCCGGCTAGGGTAGAATCAATGTCATTTAATATGGAACCAGAGTAGAAATTGTGGTTATCTTCTGGGATCTGAATGTTGTAAACCTCATGAAACGAGCCTACATGTTTCTCTCTCGATTCTGCCTCCTGCGCTTCCTCTGAATGCGTCCTTCACGAACACATAATCCGGTGTACGGTTGATGTGGCGAGATTCGAGCGGGACCCGTTCATGCGTGCTCACATTTCGACACCGATATTAGCTTCACAGAAATTCAGCTTTCCCTTCGAACGGATGGTAATCAAGTCGACATTAAAGAATAAATCAAGACTAAGAGCACTGTCCAATTCTATTTTTAACCATAGAAGCACTTGAACTTTGAGCCAGGCTTTCAGTTAGTGTCATTGTGGAATTTATGTTTCGCTTTTGCCAAGAATGATCACCTTCTTGGGGGATAACGTTAGTCTATCATATTTAATTGTTAGACCTAATATGGCTACAAATTTGTTAATTACTGGTTGAAATCATGTGTTATAAAATAAAGTGCCACATTTTGACACAAATTAAACATAATATAATTACAATAACTCGTGCGACAGTATTATGATAATTGGCATTATAAATAGTAACTTAAAAGGTCTGAGAAAAAAAGCTCCTTCTTAAGTAGTCGGGTCGTGTCCAAGTCGGCTTTAATGCACCTTGATTGATCCACCTCCCCTAAAGATCTTAAAAACGTAATTCCATGTCACACTCAATATACTTAATATAAATCTCGGATCTATTTTTATACGATGCCAATTAGACGACGAGGAAGCAATTTATAATGAACATGCTTTATCTCGAGCTCAATTCGTCACACTTAGGTTATGTTCATCTCGCAGAAAGCAGAATATGAATGATTAGGAAAATTATTTTCCTAAAAACAATTACTTATAGAAATGAACGGGCAAAAAATATATTTATCATCCGAGAAGATGTTTGGAAATAAATTATTATCGACAATGAGGCTAATTATTTTAAAAATACAAATGATCATTCTTAAGAATATTTTTTTCCAAATTTTTCATTTTCGGCGAACCTTTGATTTGATTAGAGATCGAAAGAGATGAATTAGATTTAATTAACTCATTGATCTCCATTTCATTTCGATAAACAGAAAAGAGGAGCTCGAGCGAGTTGAGTCGGCGACGACGGGTCAACTCGAACCGGAATCTACCTATAAAAGAGGCGCCGTCTCTTAATCGAAACCCCGTCGCACTTACGCATCGAAGAGATTCTCACTCTCTCTCTCTCTCTCTCTCGCTCTCTCACTTCTCCTGTTGCAGAAACCCTCGAAGGTGACCTTCAATGGCGACGGTAGACAAGAGCCCCTCTGCCAAGAGGTGGCTCCCTCTCGAAGCCAATCCCGATATCATGAACCAGGTAGACGTGCTTGCTTGCTGCCCCCCTCCTTTATCGTTCTTTCTTTCTTTTTTGGTGCTGGCGTGAGTTCGGAACGACAAGGAACTGAAATCGGTAGCGCCTGATTTGCCGCGTCGACCTGCTTCCGTTTCGATTGCATCAGCGAAAGGAAGATGTGGTTCGCGATTGGGGGCGTTTGGGAGTCGGTGTTTGTTGATCTCGACGCGGATGGAATTATGTGAAACGAACGCAAACAGTTCTTGCACACTGGTCGAGGATTACGTTGACCAGTGAAGAGGGATTTTTGTACCTTGCTTTGCAGCTGATCAATTTGCTCTTGGAGATGAGCCTGAATTGGCTGATTTTGTTGTTACTGAAGTGACTGGGCAGTGCCAATTGGCATGCGGTCCTGCTGGTAAAGGGATTGGAGGGAACGCTAGTATCACAGAGAGTGAGAGGAGAGTTAGAAATAGGACAGACCCAAAAAAAATAAAAAAGTGAGTGGGCAGTCCTGATCTTAATTGCTTAAATGAATGTTGATGGTGATTGCACTTAATGGTGAAGTTGGGTCTGATTATTGGGTCCATAAATAGCTGGTTTATGGTTTCGCATGTAATTCAGCAATGACACCATTCTAGAAGCTGGTTCTGTCCAGATTGTTCGATTATGGCTATGTTGCTCTGGTCTCTGTGTGAAATTAACAAAGTGTGCAATATCTGTAGTTTTTTCATCATCACCTCTAGTCAATTGGCCGAAAAAAAACCTCTTGTCAGTGTTATGCTTCACCGTGCATATGTAGAATGACATATGTGGATTTCTTTGGGTTGGTCTGTATCACATTACCGGCAGATTGATCTATTTAGAAAATTTTCTTTTGCGGATGGCTATCTGGGTTCTTTTCCTTTTCAGTTCTTGTGGGGCCTTGGTCTTCCGGAGGATGAGGTCGAGTGCTTCGACGTGTTCGGGTTAGATGGTGAACTCTTGGAGATGGTCCCGAAGCCTGTACTCGCTGTTTTGTTCCTCTATCCCATCACGTCGCAGGTGCCTAGATTTCGTTGTGCTTCCATCCTTCTTAGTATGTCTGTCGATTCCTTGTGGATATAGTGAGACGAGATACTTTGTGCTGACTCACATGACTCTTTCTCTGTTTTAGTCGGAAGAAGTGAGAATACAGCAAGAAAGTTTGATGAAGGTAGGCTTTCTTAGTTTTTTTACGCATATGTCATAAATGCATTGAAGAATGTTTATTTTGAACACACTTTCATTGATGCCTTTGAAATTAATAATGGATGAAACCCATTATGTTTTACTTCTATCTATTCTGTTGCTAATTTCTATTCTATAATGGTGTGCGATAATGCTTCAAATATTCACTGCTCTTGGTAGTCATTTTACAATATTTAGTTACAATATTTATTCATCTCTCTTTCAAAATTTTTTGGTAAACTTTGGTCATGACTTCTGCTTATCATTATGATGTTAGGAGTCTAGCAGTAAAGTTTATTTCATGAAACAAACTGTGGGCAATGCTTGTGGAACAGTTGGACTTCTGCATGCTGTTGGGAACGTCACTTCAGAGATTAAGCTTCGTAAGTTTCCACTAGTTTCCTTTATTTGGACTGTCTCTGCTCCTTGTAAGTGCATGATAAGCTTGTGAAGAAGCATACATCCTCCAAATCCTCGGAATTCTTGTTAAGAGTGCTGTAGAAGGTACACATAGGAATCATGAGCCCTTTCTGTAGGATGATTGACTGGTGTTACATTTTCACACCCCAATCAAACTGACTTAGGGAAGAATCATTAAGAATTTGGAGGAATGATGATACCATTAGGACCCTAAAGTGTTGGTATCAGCCAGTCTAAGATGTATTTAAACCTTAGGAGATGGCTTTAGCAATGTCAAAAAAATAAAATAATAAAAGGTCCAAACAACAAAAGAAGGGAAGAGAAGGGAAAAGGAAAGCTACTACTGCCATCCAGAGAACTTTGAAGAAAAGGGCAATACCTGAACATCTTCTTTACATGGATTAGAGCTATCATATTTACCCCCTCATACTAACTCTTCAATGACTAGAAGGCAAAATATTGAATTATGTCGTGGAATATGCAATTTCGTATCTGCAATGATGGCTACGCTCTTTATCAGGAATTTTGCTAGTAGAAGATTCTTTTATGTAGAGGATAAATATTCATGTATTTTTTTAGAATTTTCTTAACTATATGACTGCCTCTATTTAAACTCCTTTTGACATATATTTTTCCTTTTCCGCTCCTTCAGTGGAAGGATCCTATTTTGATAGGTTCTTCAAGTCCACCGCAGATATGGATCCTTGTCAGGTAATCTCTCTCTCTCTCTCTCTCTCTCTCTCTCTCTCTCTCTCTCTCTCTCTCTCTCTCTCTCTCATGAATGAATAAGCACACAGTGCTCACAGAGTTCCATCATTCTGTTTAGCAATAGTTTCTTCTGATTAACTCATAGTCGTTGCATTTTTCTCCCTCTGTGTTCTTAGCGAGCTGTGTTTCTGGAGAATGATAGAGACATGGAAGTTGCTCACTCGGTAGCTGCGGCAGCGGGTGATACACCGGTAAGGTTTTATTATCCTTGTGAACTTTAGATATTGATTGCATGGATCATTTTTACACTAATCCATGGTCAAAGGATTGTTCTGGCACTATGAGCTAAATTTTCCTTGTTAACTTTGAGCACTGACTGTTCATCCTGTCCCACTGATTATTCTTGACAGGCACCGGACAAAGTTGACACACATTTTATCTGCTTTACATGTGTCGATGGTAAGCAGAGCTCCCCTCTCCCTTCTCTTCCTCCTCTCTCTCTCTCTCTCTCTCTGCGCGCTTTTTTTTTTTTCCGCTAGCAAACTTGTGTTTATCTTAAGGCAAAGGGTCACCAACCACTTGACAAAGTCTGTTGATCTAATGGGATCAGTTGCCTTCTCAAATATTTAGGTGAATTGTTTGAGCTGGATGGAAAAAAGTCCACTCCTATATCACATGGTCCATCGTCACCGAGCAGCTTATTGCAGGTTAGCTGTCAATTTTTCTGACTTTATCTTCTAATTTGCCTCCTTAGCTGTTATCTAGGATTTGCTATGTTCTTTGGAAACTATACTGACGGCATTGTGGTATGGGGTGAGTAAGGGTGGGGGGTCTTGGGGCAGGAATGGGTTTCCGGTGCAAGAAATTTGTATAACAGCCTACTCCATAGGGATGTTTCCTGATGTTCTTTAATTCATGTGATCTAGCAACTTGGTCACCCTTTATTATTATTTGAGAAAATGACACAAATGGTCCATGAACTTTGATCCAATGTGCAATGTCGTCCCCGAACTTTTAATTTGTTCAATGTGGTTTTTGAACTTTAGCTCGATGCGCAATTTCATCCCCGAACTTTTAATTTGTTCAACATCGTCCCTGAACTTTTGTTATATGTTCAATCTAGGCCTTAGAGTATATGAAAATATTCAATGTTGTCTTTCCATTAATTCAAGTTCAGGGAATGACAACATTAAACATTTTTGTATAATTTATGGACTAAATTGGACATGTATAAAAAGTTTAGGGACCAATTGAACAAATTAAAAGTTCAGGGATGACATTGCGCATTAAGCTAAAGTTCAGGGACCACATTGAACAAATTAAAAGTTCAAAGGTGACATTGCCCATTGAGTTGTAGTTCAGGGACCACTTGTGTAATTGTCCCTTATTATTATTATTATTTTTTTGT